GCTGAGTAATATTCCATTGTATATATGTACCACATCTTTTTAATCCAGTCATCTACTTTTGGGCATTTGGGCTGCTTCCATGTTTTTCAAATTGTAAATAAAGCAAATGCTGCAAGTTTTGATGCTGCTGTTTCTACCATCTCACCAGAAACCAAGCCACCAAGGAAGCAAGGCAATGGAAGCAGGTGCAAAGCACAGCCTCCTTGTCTGCTAATTGGTCAAGTGCCAAGAGCAGGAGTCTTCGATGGCACAAAGCTGCTGGATTTCGGAGATGTTAACATGTGAAAAATATGTGTCTAACTGTACAAAGAGGGACACAGGTCCACATCACTACAGATCTCTCACAGCCACCAATCATTACTTGGAACAGTGAGCTCATTCAATACTCTAAAAATGCTATTCCTTGGGGCCCTCCCTGGTGGCGCAGCAGGTTAAAAGCACAGCACTAAGAAGCTAAAGCTGCTTCAGCATGAGTTCAATCCCCACCCTGGAGGTGATCCACATGCCCCGGCAGACCTCTCCTGACCCGGCCGCTGCTCCCCTCAGCAGTGTTCATCAGTCAGCCTATTCTGCTCCCCACTTTGGCTCTGGTGAATCCTCTCACTGTCCCCACACCTCTGGCCTGTACCCTAGTTCTGTATGCATAAATGAATGAATCTTTAAAACAATTGCTACTCCTCTTTAGATTGTGTAACAGAGGTGTGCTTATGTATCTCTCACAATCCCCTCTTCTACTCTACAACCACAGAGAATGGTAGGCTGAGCTTTGGGGCTAAAAATAACTTGCCCTAAATGGAGGAACCTTTTTCTTCAGTTCTATTAACTTCTCACTCTTGGAGACAAGTTGGTGCCATCTGAAGATACTTGAAACCTATAGCTTTTCCTTGCCAAGATTTTTTTTGTAACATAAAAATCAAGCAGTAGCAAGGCTTAAAGTTTTTTTAATAGAATGATTTTCTGTTGGTTTTCAAACTAAAAGCATACTGAGTTGAAAGTCAGGAAAAATGAGGAATTTTATAAAAATATTATGAAATTTCTAACCTGTCTCTCTCCCCCCTCCCAGTATTATTTTTTTAAATATGCAAAATAGATCATACAGGTCTGTAAAGGTACAGTTAAAAGTACAAACTCATGTCACCATCACCCCAATCAAGAAATAGAGTATTTCTATCATGACAAAATTCCGGGTCTTTCTCCAGACCCCCTAAAACCCCCTTCAGCATAATCTAGTCTTTTAATAAATTATGGGACAACAACATGTTGACGTCTCAGAAAAAAATTTCTTAAGTGATCATGAGTTTTATAGTAAAAATCAGAGACATGTTTTTAATTTTCATTTTTGTGACCATGTTATATATTGCTACTCTGTCTTCAAGGAACTTACTTACATTTTTAAAACAATTAATGCTAATCTAAAGAGTAAATAAAATATGATCCCTGAGTCACACATTCATGTAAAAGTATGGCTTACTTCCAGCTAGGCTGGATCAGGTGTCTCATTTCAGCTTGGGACAAAAACACTACAGAGATTTACTTACCACATGACCCTGCATTTGACTTAGCAATGTCAAATGCTTATATTGTATACTGGCTGCAAGAATGACTTTAAAAATTCTTTTTTCTTTGTACATCACCTATTCAAGGAAAGTATCAACTAGGGCAGATAGTTATTCAAATGTAAAAAGTTATTCTAAAGGTCACACACACACAATACCCTTGTCATTCCCCTGTATGAAACCCTAGGACTTTGGTAGGATAAGCCATTGCTATTTATTGCTTCCTTTGTCTATTCGGTCTTTCTTCATTATTCTGAAAGTGATTTAAGTAAAGGTTCAGATAGTAATGAGATTGCTCAATATGGATGTATATCAACATATTCAAGAGATAATAAAATCAGTTGAGAATCAGAGCAGTGGCAATCAGACAAGCAAACCATAATCTTTTTATTTAGACACTATAACTATGGATTCACATTCTTGATTTAGTCTGCAAATATGGAATGCCTTGTATAAGTCACAGTGCTTAGACTTGAAAATAAAACCAAGATGGCATAGAAACACTCCCTCACTCCTGAAAATCAGATTCTCCTGGTGTTAGAGATCATAAACAATGACAGTACAGTCTGGCAGGTATATAACTATGAAGTGATGGAGAAATATAAAAAAGTCTAAACTGAGAAGGAGGGGTGGGAATTAAAATCTGAGGAATGAAAAAAATTCACTAGGAAAAGAGGTGGGAAAGCAACTGATGGAGAAAGATCGAATGGGAACAGGAGCTAAGACCAAGGAGATGATGATATGATCCCAGGAAGAGCTCTGGTTGTGTTTCATTTAGGAATGGAATGTTCCTTTCAAAACTGATGATGCCTCAGGGAAGAAATTACCGGCTATTCAGTGGAACCACATGAATACAGCAGGATTTATTTTAAAAGATTTATTTATTTATGCATACAGAATTGGGGTACAGGCCAGAGGTGCAGGGTCAGCGAGAGGATTCACCAGAGACAGAGTGGGGAGCAGAACAGGTAGATGAGGTACACTGCTGAGGGGAGTAGTGGGTGAGACAGGAGAGGTCTGCAGCACCAGTGTGCATCACCCGGGGGCCAGGATCCAACTTCCACTGAAGCAGCTGCAGCTACCTTGCAGTGCTGCGATTATAGCAGGTTTTTTTTTTTTTTTTAAATAATATAAGTTTATTTTTACATCATTTTGTACACTTTTTTGTTTTTATCTCAATTGTAATCCCCATGGGCTTCCCATCACCGAGTCACCCGTGTGTCATCACCATAGTCCCGTGCACTTCTCTCCCCCCTCCTCCCATTTTTGATCCCATTCCCCACTCCACCCCCACAAAATGTCTCTGGTACATGGCTGTTCATTATTCTTATTATTTTCTCGCCTAGTCCATTATACTCCTTATAGCAGGATTTTTATCTGAAACAGTAATAGACAAAGTAGTCTGACCCAGTCTTATTCTTGATAGTTTTAACATACCTAAGGAGACACAAAGAGAGGAACAGAGGACAGAGGCCCCCTCTGGCCTCCACAGAATAGTGATGCACCGGAAATTTTATTCTGTTTCCTTGGCTTGATTTTTCTCCTCATTCAAAAAAGAATGAAAAAAAAAAAAGTGCAACACAACAACACGGAGCTACAGAATACTAATACAAAAGCATTATTGTTCGGATCAGACTGTTAGAAAGTCCAGTAAACCAGAGCTCCCCATTCCAATGGCTGGGACAGGCATCATCTTCATTGGGAAATCTTGAGCTGCTGGCAGGGAGCCTCAGCTAGTCCCCCCTCCCCCATTTCCACTACCTGCCTATTAGCAAAGGTGGATTTCAAATGGGGGCGGAGAGGGGTGTCTTCAAAGACCTGACTCTGCTATACTACAAATTCCAAGAGGTCTGTGTAGCAAACTACAGTTTCTCTAGGACTTAGTGCGACACTTGGCACTTCATAAGGCACGCCCTAAGTGCTTGTGAGAGGAAAGAACAGAGATTTTTCCTTCTAGCTCTCTGCTTCCTTCTATGATGGGATTCCACCTTAACTATGGATCGGAAACTTCTCAGACAGTGGTCAAACCAGTCTTACTGGGCCTTCTTGGAGACTGTCTGGTTGCCACTCATCATCCCACCCCAGGAGAAATGGATGCTCCTCCCAGACTGGATTTGGAGCTCCTGGAGGCCAATGACTTTCTTATTCAGTCATGAAATCCCCCACACCTCACCAAGTAATTAGCATCCAGTAAGTGCTGCTCAACTCTTGGGGGGAAAAAAATGGCATGAAGATTATATAAACTTGCAATGAGTTTATTTGTGTTGATAAATGTTTACTGAGTTCCTAACCTGCCAAGCAATGTTTAAAGGCATGAAGGAAGCAGAGATGAATGACTGTGAAAGCTCCTTCATGGAAGCTGAAATTCCAGCGGAGACAGACATAAACATGTCTGACTTCGCTTTTGATGTTTGACTGCTGACAGCTTTCAAGCCCCGCCTCTCTCTTTCCTTCTGCTCCACCTCTGGGCAAGTGGGCATGAGAGTCTGGGCACACCCTCTCTTGCTGAGACCAGGAAAATTCCAGTACCCAGAACTCTAGCTTTGCCCCGCCCCTAGCTACAAGGAACACAGACCCATGTTTCCCACTTGCAAGCAACCCATTTGAATTCCCTGCGCTTCCAGCAAGCCTCAGCATTGTAACTGCTCTGTGTGTGTGGGTCTGTGTGTCTTCAGCACCCTGAACATCTGAATCTGCTTGTTGGTGCTGGTGGGGGCCGATCCTACTGAGGGATGAGGCCACAGCGAGGTATATAGCATTCTGCTTTGCGACAACTTAATCTTTACCAAAACCAGTGAAGCAGTGGAACCTCCCCCCTCTCCGATCACACTGGTGGGGCTCACAGCTGTGCGGAGCAGAGCCCCAAGAAAGAAGGAACCTGCGTCCTGAGGCTGCACAGCAGCACAGCTGGAGAAACCCCTCTAGCGAAGCCACCTGCGCCTTGCTAAGGCCGCTGACTGCCTGGGTGCTGGGCTTCTCTCACCTGACCTAGGTTTAAGCTGCACCTTTGTTGAACATAGTACTTTCGAGCTGCTTATCTCCTGTCTCTTAATTGCTCTTAATATTTCAAAAACAACTTGGTTCTCTTAATCCTGGTCCTTTTTTTTTCCTTTCCCCTCAATTTTTCTTCTAATTAAGCAGCATGCAAAACTCAAGTATCTTGAAGTACGGTCTGATGAATACTACTTAAAAGTTAGCTTTGGTTATAGGGAATCTAAAGTACACAGAGTAGATGGGATAAAAGATTGAATCCTCAGTGCACATCACTCTGCCTCGCCAGTTATTAACCTCTGGTCAACTCTGTCCTGCTCATGGCCTAGTCTCTATCCCCTGTCTATGTTATCTTTTAGGAAAATCTGCCCTCATGTTATTACTGAACAAATTTGCAGGTCAATCTACTATTTAAAAAGCAGAGCTTGGCCCTCCCTGGTGGCGCAGCGGGTTAAAGCACTGCACTGAGAAGCTAAAGCCACTTCCACATGAGTTCGATTCCCGCCTGCCCCGGAGGTGAACACATGGCGTGGCAGACCTCTCCTGACCCGCCCGCTGCTCCCCTCAGCAGTGCACTTCATAGATCTGCCTGTTCTGCTCCCCACTCTGTCTCTGGTGAAGCCTCTCACCACTCCTGAGCCTCTGGCCTGTACCCCAGTTCTTTTAGAAATAAAGTCAAATTCCTAGCTCATGGTTTTTGTCACTTCATGCAAATCATCCTTTTCATATCATCTTCTGAAATGCTCATTTTTCTGATTCCCCTCTTTTCACGCTTACCTCTCCTCCTCCTCCTTTTTTTTTCCTGTCCTCTCTCCCTCCATTTTTCCCTCCTTAATTCTGCATCCAGTACATTTTTTTTTGTTTGCTTTGCCTACAGGGACTCCCACTTTTTTTAAGGAAAATTGAGACCTAAATATGTGAAAATTCAGCCTCAATATACTTGTTATTCTTTGATAAACTTCTTTCAGTGTTCAACCACTGAGAATCTATTTTGCCAGAATAGCAGTTTATCTGCTTATCATGCCTTTATGAATATGGAGAAAGGATTTTTTTTAAAAAGTCACACAGTTAATCCCCACTGCCTTAGATAATAAAAAAATGGCAACACAGTGGGAAAATATAACATAACAAATCCATTTAGAGAAGTAACCAAAATTAAGTACAGGGTGTTAGCTTTAGCTAGATAATGTCTAAAGTCCTGATGATACTCAAGACTTGTTTTGTAATGCTGGTAAGCCTTTGAACTTTTCTATCAGTGAACCTGGACCCAGTGGATATTTTCACACAAAGCAAATTGGAACTGTTTAGGTATTATTTACATGTAAGAATCAAGCTTATTTCTCAAAGGCAGAAAGTAACCAATTATTTACAGGGAGTTCAGATTACTTGCTCCTGGTAGAGGCAGATCTTCCAACAAAGTGGGACGGGACAACTGAGATGGAAAAAGGCATAAAATGATGTAAAAATAAACTATTATATTATTTTTAAAAATGGTATAGGTACAGAGTCAGTGTTGAATTCCCAAAGATTTTATTGACTTTTATTTTGTTATCTTATGGGGAAATACATGTTAGACTTGCACATGGAAACAGAGTATGTACTTCCCGATACCCTGCAATAGGACAATTAGCTACAGTGTTCCTGAGTAAGAAACATATTTCTCTCTTGGGAAGTTGTGGGGAGACATGCTATCCAGGGACCCCATGGCTCCTACCTCTACCATGTGGGTCTGCTAATCCTAATCCTGCTAATCCTGCCTGTTTGGCCACCATTTTGTTCCTCACAGTTCTGCATCATTCTTATACAACGTCAGAACTCCCGGGGCAATCAGTTATAGGGGCTCAACCGTACAAGGTGCCTTTCAAATCAATCAAGAGCAGAAAGCTCCATCTCTCTGAGGAGGGTGTACATCATGAGTTATGACAGGGAACACCCGGGTGCCAGGTTGACTGATACATAAACTTTCCCCCGACTTAAACAGATGAGGTTTGAGGAGAAATACCCGGGGAACTGTTGACTGATGTGGAACACCTTATTGATAAGATTGCAATCATGGCCTGGGAGCTGGGGTCCGGTTTCCATAACAACACTTGGTCATCAAATAGATAAGAATTATCTGATCAACAGACCCATGTCCCTCCCAAAGCCCTCGATGACATCAGCACATTTTTGGTTTCACCCATCTTTTCTCCTTGTCCTCCTCCCCCATGTAACTGATGCCGTATAATTATTCTATCAATAAAAAGGCCAGGGTCTTGTTTGGCCAGCAGATCCTGCACAGTGCAGCCTGCTCCAACACTCCCCTTTTAGTGTGGTGTTGCCAATGTAACATGCCATGGGATTGAAGACTCTGATAAGGAACTGTGGTCATCCCAGGCCCCTCAGCATGATGAACCCATAACTGTGGCATATTGTTTTTGTCTTTGTATCTCAACACCTGGCTTGTAGAGCCAGATCAATAGTCAATGCATGTCCAAAGAACATTTTATGGTATAAGTAAATACAGAAATGCTTGGATCAATGCCAGTACAGTTTATTGGCGTTAGCTTCATTTAGCAAGTTAGCATTTAATACCTTTTTGTTATTTTCCTCTTAATGGTTCTTGAAAGCATTTTTACTCTTCTGGTAGTCTTAATATGTTATTTTTCCTTATTATATCACACCCATATTTGGTATTAGGATTCACAACTTTCTTGATGTCATAGTAACACTTAATCTCTCTTAATACCCTTAAAATTATGTGTTGCCATTTCTACAACTAGTTTTGTTTAAAATTTCAGACATAGAGTATTTAAGTCTATATACAACTCATAACAAAGTGAGTAAAAAGAAGTGTTTTCCCAGAAACCCTGAAAGTATTGTTTCCTGGGTTTAAGTTTTAGCTGGAGGAGAGTGAGTTAGAACTGCTTCTTATGGTCTCGGGAAGCAATTATTTAGAAAGTCTGCATGTTTAAATAATATTAATCTAGCAAATTACAGGCTGCTGGGGGTAGGGAAGTGGGGAGAGCAAAAGACACCATGAGGCATTCATCCACATGTCTAGACACTCATTCTAAATTTAAATATTTAGAATTTTCAGTAGCCTGGGAATATAGAAAAATTTATTACATTAAGGTAGGCTTTAGATATTTGACATGTAGCTGATATTTTCATAGTGTGAGAAATATCAAGCTGACATTACGCTGTCTCTGTGATGATTACTTCAAAATGTCAAGAGAGCAGAAACTTATTCATTGGACTTCAGGGCCTTAGGATAGTGTCAATTTAAAAGACATTCACATCAACTTCTCTTTTTTATTTAAACATGCTAAATGGAGTATGAAAAGTAGGCTACGAAATCAACAGAGAAGGAAGAGCAAAGAAGAGACCTATTGACAAGAAAATTTTAAATAGATTGTTGTACTCAACATCAATTTCATGGGCACCTTACTGACAGCAGACTTCAGTGACTGCCTCCACAGGTTTCTGACAGCGGTAGTCTTACTATTCACATTTTTCACTCATTTTACTGATAGGTGGCCAGGGAGGAGTGGAAAGGCACGATCTCCAGAATAGGAATCTGTGCACACAGATATGCTGTATGCATATACCATATGACTCATGATCTGTTGTGTTTTTTTAAACAAAACTCTTGCTTTGAACTGAAATTCCTACCCTGATGATGCACGATGAAAGCTGGACGTTGGTGCCATCAGGAGTTAACCAAGCTGGCCAGGATGTTCCAAGGTCAAGATAACAGGGAAACTGATAACACATTCTAGAGACTGAACTTGATGAATACCAAGAACATCACTATGACAGGCTGTTCTAATCTGATTCTACTGTGTTGGGCTGTTCTGATGGGTTGTTTTCTTATGACTAACTGTCTTTGTGTAACTCATAAATAGGACAGAGATGAGATGCCACAATGGGCTCTTCAGGGTGTTATGCCCACTATTCTCTTCCTCTGTTCTCTGAGATCAATGGCCAGCAATCTGTCTCTGTTTATTGACTTTTGGTAGTGACGGGCAATAGAACTCAGGCCTGTTCTGCTACGTTACAATATTGAACCTAGGAAGTTAAAAAAAGATGAAAAAGGGAGGAAAAAAAGATATAAACTACTTGATTTTTTAGATTGATAACTAAGTAAATCAATATTTACTTAGTTATCTTTAATATTAACATTAGATTTCGAATTAAAAGCAAACAACTTAGTGATATTTTAAATTGAAAATATATTCCTTTGTTCACTAAACTCCTTAGCAGCTAATTGTGAACCTATTGAACTGCAGCTATTTTGGAAATAACTCAAATGAATTTTTTTATTAAACAAATTGGCCATATCAGAGATAATTATGAGTTTAAATAAAGCTTTGCCTTTCCAATTATGTGCACAGCAGTGCTCTTAATTATTTGGGGTCACAGAAATCCCAGTGCAGACTCTGAAAAGTATTTCTCCTGCAGTCCATCTTGCTAACTTCCTTCCTGTTCTCAGAAATCAGTATCTTTTCCTTTTTAAAATCCCTTTTAAAAGCAACTGTGGGGATGAAACTGATATGGTAACAGGGGTGGGTATTTTAAAATCAGCCCTGTGTGTGTTGACTTGTGTAGGTCAATGATAGGAATCACTCTACAGTCATCGAAATTCCCTGATTCATTTCGCAGTGTTACTTGTGATACAAACAAAAGTCTGAGACTGAAGAGAGCTAGAGAGCAGCTACTTCTGGGACTTGTAAAATTTTAAGTTGCTACTTGAGAATCCAAGTGACAAGCCAAACAAGCTGACAGACACAACTATTTCAGAGGATCAGTGTATCTTGTTCACTAGTCACAGTGGAAACAGAAGATTGATAATTCTGTTACCCTATTGGTACTGTTCAAACTGGCACTTAGCAATTCGGAGCCGAAAGAGTATCACAGTTTTGTGTGCGTGGACTATCACAAAACAACACGGAAACACCAGCGTTTGCTAAGCTTAGACCTCTTGATTGTACTCACAAAGGTCAAGGAGGTTCCACGGGCCCATCCATCAGGGCTGGCCTCGTGAAGACAGGCCACAGAAGGGAAGCATCATGAGTTGTTTCAACAACTTGATGCACAGCTTGCCCCTACGTTCTGTGTCAACATCTCAGGGCCAGTCTTAGGGGCCAGACTGGCAGATCCAACCCTCCTTTTTTGCACCCATTAAAGGAAAGGGGTCCTGGAAATCGGATTGTGTCCATATTCCAGGAGCCTTGACCTGGGTCCCCAAACTGCCCGACCTCACAGCCCAGAGAGGGCGGAGAATCCTTCCTGTCGTGTTAACTGCCTATCCCCACCATCCAGCTCAATTCTGAGCTCCTCGAGGCTAACTTCTTCTGGTCTCTTCATGCTTGAGTTTGTGCTTTCCACTTTTTAACCTCCAACTTGCTCTTGCCCAGTCTGTTCTCTTTCCCAGTAGCACAACCCGCTGTGAACCGGACAGGTGATCGCCACCAAGCTGGAGCTAGAAGAGCTGGGTTTTGCTGCAGGACAGAACGCGTGAGCCGCAAGTCGCCTCTGGCAGAGATCTCGTCTTGGATCACAGGGCGGGAGCCCTCAGAGAAAACTGAAACTTGCGCCTGCTATTAGCAAACAGGAATCTCCCGCGGGGCTGTTCGAGTTATTCACTCCGCTGCCACGGCGTCTGCGGAGCTGCGGGGCGCCCCCCGGTGGCCGTCTGGGCGCATTGCTCAGCGGCGGCGGCGGCGGCGGCGGAAGGGGAGGTGCGGAGCCGGTGGGGCGCGTGGCCATGTCCGTGGCGGAGCCGGTGCGGGAGGAGCTCTCCGCCTTGGCCGCGATTTTCTGCGGGCCGGATGAGTGGGAGGTGCTGAGCTGCTCAGGTGACTACCTCGGTGCTGGAGGGGCCAAGGACGCTCCCGCCTCCACCCGGGCCCCTGCCGCGGGGCCCACGGTGGGGGTCGGGCTAGTGAAATGACGGAGAGACGCCCCAGGCTGGAGCGGTGCCGCGCAGGCGGGAGTGGGGCGACTCGCGGCCAGCGAGTGTTGCCGCTGCTCCTTACTCTGCACTGGACGGAGTGCTGAATGTCCAGGCCCTGGCGCCTGGCCGGCTGGACCCGCCCTGCTGCTCCCCACCAAGGCTTATTCTGCTTCCCTCAGTCCATGCAGCCCCCCTAAGTCCCTCCAGCTCTCCCTCCAGCTCCCCCTAGGCCTGGTGTGCGCCGGGCTCCCCACGGCCCGACTGGTCCCCTTTGTGCGGTAGCGGTACTTCCTCCTTGGAAACTATCTCCCCCCCCCCCAATCTTCCTGATCGCGGCTATGCACCCTTCAGATCGCACCTTAGAGAGAGGTCTGTCCCCGACACCCTAGTTTAAACGCAACCCCGACCCGCAGGCTTACTAGCACTGTTCCTTATATCCGTCATAGCCTCGCCAGGGCCTTTGGCTGTGTCAAGTTCAAGAGGCCAGGGGCCCTGATTTGTAATCCCCAAACCCCAGGCTCCTAGAACAGGCACATAGTCAGTAAAAGCCTGCTGAATGACTTTCGGAATATCTGCTAGTGCTATCAGAACCTTTTCTCAGTGACGTGCTTTTCTGATGCTTTTCTTGTTCACTACAAGGTGATGACCAACTTCGGGCACTCGGGGGTGTATTAATCTAGTCCATGCAAACAACAGTTTCAGAGACATTCAGGTTCCTTTAGGGGTATAGTTAGAAAGGTTGTTTTGACTATTTCCCCACCCACTGCCCCTTTTTCTTTTATTGAGGTAACACTAGTTTACAACACCTTATAGCTTTGTACAGTTTCACCCCTCAGCAACTGTGATTATCACCCGCCCACCAACCGGTCCCCCTCAGTCTACTCCCCTCACCCCCACTTGCCCTTTGGTACCCACCCTTCTGTTAGCAGAGTGGGAGGGTTTGCTTTACGTCGGTTGTTTCATTGCTCTTTTCCCCTTTATATTCCACAAAGGAGTGAAATCATACGGTATATTTTCTCCTGGTTTAGTTCACTTAGCATAATCCTCTCAAAGTCCATGTCTGCGTCCGTTGTACACGTGCTTGTTTATAGACCACATCTTAATCCACTCATCACTCCCTGGGATCCCTGGGTTGTTTCTGTCTTGGCTCTTGTGAACAGTGCCGCAGGGAGCACCAGGGTACATCTATCTTTTCGAATTAGCGTTTCCATATTCTTCAAGTAAATACCCAGAAGTGGGATTACGGGATCATATGGTAGTTCTATTTTTAAATTTTTTAAGACACTCCATACTGGTTTCCATAGTGACTGCTCCAATTACATCCCCACCGCTCTGCACTAGGGTTTCTGTTATTCTCCACTTTGCTAGCCCCTGACTTTTTGATAACCCTAACTCTACCCTAACTTCTTGATAATCGCTCTTCTAATCTGTGTGAAGTGAAGCACTGTGGCTTTGACTTGCATTTTCCTAATGAAATGTCGGCTGGCCATCCACGGGTCTTCAGGGAAATATCTCTTGGTTGCTTTTGATCATAACTAAAGCTTTTTCTGTCTAGTGGGTTCTATTAGGCGGAAAAAAAAAGTTACACTTTATGAAAAGAATGCAGTGATGCAGATAATTTTCAGTTTTCATTTAGCTTCCAGATACCTGATGTAATTTTTTTGGCATGGGATTTAGCCTTCTGTTATATTTCAACTACTATTAAAATAATCTTTCTGACCATAAATTGGTTGACCTTTAAGGAGGTAGTGGAATATGTGCTGGGTGTTGTGAGAAAGCCTTCTAGGAGTAAGGTGGTTTCTGTGTGTCCTTGAGGTATGTTATTCACACCCTGCACAGGGTCTGGCCCTTTTTGGGGTGTTCCTCCTCAGCCCCCCACCTCCCCGTCTTCCTCAAACACTGTTGTTTTACGCACTGGGAACCAATGAATGGAGTGGAGCTCTGTCTTTTTAGTGCCGAGACTGTCTGGTATCTTTTTTGAAACCATGTGTGTTAAACCTGTGTAAAAGGTCTGACTCAATTTTAGCATTTTCTTGTCACCCCTTTCTGATGGGATAGCATCCCTAATTATTCATCTTGCTGGCTGTCTCCCTCCTTTTTATTATTAATAATTATTACTTCTGCCTGAGGCAAGCTATTTGAAGAGGGCATCCATTTTCCCCAATTTCTTTATTATGGTGGGCTGAGAATGAGGGAAAAGTGAGCCTGTTAATCCTGTAACACCTTAAAGGAGACAGGGTGTGGAGTGGTCTCTGTCAGGAGTGCATGGCTGAGCAGAATATGATGCTGGCAGATCAGAGAAGACCCAGAAAGTAAGCACAGAAAGAGAACAGTTTCTTAATATCAAGAACACTGTGGACCTTTATCTGCTGTTAAATTGAGCATGACTTTCAAACCATGCCTCCTAATTAATTTAATCCAGTGTTCTGGCATCAGTAAGTAATTGAATTATAAAAGAATTCATTGTAACAACTTAGGACATGGTGTTGCTGAAAGGTTCATTGGAGAATAGAACAATTTAGTGATTGAAGTGGGAATCTTTGATGCTCACAACTAGGAAATAAAAGCGTAAGGTAGGGACTTTTAACAGGCCATAACAAATACACAATGACTGCTGGCTGCTACTCTCAAGGTCACTGTCAGCTTCGGTTGGAGGGTATCAACTTGACATTCTGGACTGCAGCTCCTTCCTGGCCTCCCCCACATAAAGGAGTTCTTCCCATTGTCCCTGGAGTCAGGGGAACATTGTGGTGGGATTGCAACTGGGTGCTGTGATGGCCCAGGGAGGCCCGGGCAGCCCATGCAAGTGTCAGCGTGAAGGCCATGAGTAACTGGATTATTCCAGTTTGTGCTGAGAATTTCTGTAAATTTGGTCCTCCTTGGAATCATAGCAATTTCACAGTAAAAGGCATCAGCTGTAGTTGTCTTTTGTGGGTACAAAATATGTAAGCTCCACCTGCCAGCACTGGTAGATCAAATAAGAGGTCTCCCTGCAGTGTAGTTAGTCCAGGTGCCACGTAGGACAGTGTCACCCACCCTGCACATGCTACTTGAAGTGCATCTTGCTTGATGACAGGACTTTTAGCTTCATTTGCAAAGAAGTTAGTGGATACTCAGGCTGGTCAAATAGCCAGCCGGCTCCCAAGTGTAGGAACCCTCTCCTAGTGGTTCGCTCCTTAACGGTGGTGGGGCTGCTATATCAGGACAGCGGCTCTTAGAAGCCAGGTTAGAGCTTGTGCATAAAGAGTGCAAAAAATGCACACCCAGCAAGCAGACATTCCTGCAAGACCCAGCTTACCTTCATAGCATCTTAGTGTGTGCACCTGGGATGTAGATGTGATTGGCATTTTTTTTAAAGATTTATTTATTTATGCTTACAGAACTGGGGTACAGGCCAGAGGTATGGGGGGGGGCGGGTGGGAGAATTCACCAGAGACAGAGTGGGGAGCAGAACAGGCAGATCAACCAAAATACACTGCTGAGGGGAGCAGCGGCGGGCGGGTCAGGAGAGGTCTGCCGTGATATGTGGGTCACCTCCATGTCCTAGTATTGACTTGTGCTGCAGTGGCTTCGGAGACCTTCATAGTGCTGTATCTTAACCCATTGCACCACCAGGGAGAGCCCTGTGGTTGGCATTGTTTTAAATCTTTGTTTCCTGGTGTGGAACTTGAGGGTCACAGAGATTATAGGGCTTTCGTTGATGACCACTTTATGTGGAGTTGTGTTTCTGGAAATTACCTCACAGATCAAAAAGTAGTAAGGTGGTTAATTTCCATTATCATATACTACGTTTGCTGAGTGGTTTGAAAGGGGAATTTTGTATTCTCCTGACACTAATGTTCAGCTTGGATTGGGCCCTCTTGCAAAATGAATCATGACTGTCACCACTGACCCCTCTAAATCTGCTCAGCTGTGTCTGCTGGTGATTGTCAGTACCGAGACCACCTCTGTAAAACTAATTCAGCTTTGAACTTCACTTCTAAAGGATGGGATTGCCACTTTTAGCTTCCCTTTTATTTATTTATTTATTTTTCCTCTGACCATATTTTAAACATAAAAATCAGTAATAACGGAGAGGCAAGCTTTAGCATCTGCATGTTTGTGGTGAGTTGCCTGGGAGTAAGAAGAAAGAAAATCTATGCACTGAACTCTGAGGACGTTTGTGGAGATTCTTAACCTTGAGAATACATAAAGGTGGCAAAAGAAAAAAATGTATGTAAAGTCAGTTGTGTATAAATGATTTCTTTTTAAAAAAGATTTATATACTTGTACATACAAGAACTGGGGTACAGGCCAGGGGTGTGATGGGTGAGAGGATTCACCAGAGACAGAGTGGGGAGCAGAACAGGCAGATCTACTGAAATACACTGCTGAGGGGGGTAGCAAATGGTGGGACAGGAAAGGTCTGCTGCACCATGTGGGTCTACCCCCAGCTGGGAATCGAATTCTTGTTGCAGTGGCTGTGGACATCTAAATAGTGCTGTGCTTTAACCGTTGTGCTACCTTGAAGGGCCCTTGTTCTTCTTTTTTTAATTGAAAGAAAACAACCAAAACCAGATTAACAGTTCATGCACTGTATGAAAAATCCTGAGGTGAAAGGGAGCCAGCTTAATCGCATGTATGAACTAGGGTATTAGAAACACTGTTACAGTTCTAGGAGAAAGTGAATTTTTAAAGAGAATGTGGAATTTTATTATCACAGCGTGTCAGCAGAACGGGCTTTTGTAGCAGGCGTCTTATTTTTTGCTCAGGTGCATCAATTTGTGTGGTTGTAGTTTGCAGCTTCGATGAGCCTCTCAGGCTGGGATGGCTGCAGGTAGTGAGGTCAACACCACAGAAATCATGGAAGGGCTAACGAGGAGGGGGAGGTGTGAAATGATAGGAGAGAAATTCTGGAGAATT